ATGTATTGTAGGGCAAGGTTTACTGAAGGCGCATATGACCGAATAGGCGCATGCGACGATAAAATGTTCTAGGGCGGTGTGGGCTCGTGGGGTTGACGGGACGGATGTAAGTTGGGCCTCCCCGCACTGGGCCACCGGTATCGGTGCGACGTGTTTCCAAATGACCGACTGGGACACTGCGTTATGGGAAGGTGCGACCACGATGGGAGCAGGCTGGGATCAAGGCAGCATAAACACAGGGGTCGAATATCATGTATGGTCTGATAAATAGTACCTGATCGCCCGTCTAAGGTCCGAGGTCTTTGACGCATAGACTCGCTTGCTGATGATAACTTGATGATGCTGACATCCAACTTGGCGACATTGCGTTCGATTTCATCAGAAAAAGTTGCCGACTCGGCTTCTACTCTAAGGGCTACCTTACCTGCAGTTGAATATATGCTGCTTTAAAAACTAATCTCATGGCCCATTGTCTCGGAACACGATATTGACATCGTTATGACGGCGTCGCAGACTGCACTGAACCCAACAACCGACGGACCGCAGTCATAATCAGTATTATTATCTACCAACTGAATCTGTACGAATCTAATTATCAGGTAATGCTGCGTAACTAGCAAGAAATTTGGCTCGTTTTTGTTTCAGTTGGTCTTATTCGCTTGCTTGGACATGGATTACCGAAGAACCCAGATTCTTCGTGTTTTCAAGGGTATTTCACTTTTTATCCACCCTCCCTTCATTAACTTGGTCAGAGGACTGGGGGGAGGGGGCGACCAGGATATCTTTTTACGGGGAGGGGGTGGTACGAGTGGTCAGAAAAAGCCCCAGAAATACGGCTTTGACTGACAGACTGTGGACGTTGCGCCGATGGGTTTGCTAAAGCTTGTCAGTCCCGATTTGGATTTTATGCAAGAAACCTGACTTGACGAGGGATCTCCGTTTAGCTAGGGATGCTTTCGGAGTAGGGGTCGGTTACACTGCCCTGGTCCCAAGTGCAAGTGCAGTGTGGGCAATGTGTAGGAGGATGCTGAAATCGTTGGTGGGACTGTGGCCAAAGCTAAAACGGAAAAGGGCAACCCGATGCTCTGGTTTAGAGGCAGGGTTGGTTTTAGGGCTTAGGTTGGTGTCAGACTGAGAATTGAGTTAAGGACTAGGGTTTGTGTTAAGGGTTCAGGTTAGAGTTAGGGTTTGGATTGCGGTTTAAATTTGCGTTCAGTGTTAAGGCTGAGGTAAGGGTAGGGTTATGGTTAAGGTTAGGGTTAGGGCTTGGGTTAGGGTTAAGGCTAGGTTTAGAGTTAGGACTGGGGCTTGTGGTAGGTTTTGGGTTATGTTTAGTGTTAAGTTTAGGGGGGACGTTAGGTATTTGGTTTTACTTTGGAGATTATGGGTAGTCTTACCGTTAGATTTGAGGTATTGCTACGCCCAGTGTTCAGTTAACCAGGTCTTTGACGGGGATTTTATGTTTCCTTCAATCTTGCGGCAGATTTGTCATACATCAGGTTGCCTTTTCCGTCTCATCAGTCGGCAAGGATCGGTTACGCTGTCCGGGTCCCAAGTGCAAGCCCAATGGGGGGCATTGAAAGGAAAGTAGGCCGAAGAGGGATGCTAAAATCGCAAGTGAGAAAGTAGGCGAAGCAAGATCAGAAAGGGGCAACCTGATGTACGACGATTCACCCACAAGAATGAAGGAATCCTAGAATTCCAGCAAAAAGCCTGGGTGACAGGGCTTGCGGGGCAACAATATCCCAAACCTAACGTTAATCCTATCAACAACCTCAAAAGTTAACCTAAACCTTAACGTAAATATGAACCTAAAGCCAACCTTAACCGGAACATTAAACCGTACCCTAAACCTAACACAAACCCTAACCCCATGCCCAATCTTAGCCTCAACCCTTAAGGGTGTGGATTATGGTTTAGGTTTGCGTTCAATAACGTAAATCTACACCGTAATTCAAACCCTAACTCTAACCCGAACCCCTAAACTTAACAAAAGCCCTAACTTTAAAGTCACTTTTAAGTCTAACATTAACTTAAACCCTAAAACTAACCCAGACTCTAGACCGAAACATCAGGTCGCTCTTTTCCGTTTTAGGTTCGTTTACTTTCGCACTAACGATTTCAGCACCCCCCTTTTCGACTTCCTTTACTTTCAATGTTCACACTCCGCTTGCACTTGGGACCCGGATAGCTTAACCGACCCTTGCCGCTTCCGATGTTCGACGATCTGCAGACTAACCATCTGGTTGTCATTAAAATCACGGGTTAGATGATACGTGGTAGCCCTCCTGACACCGCAAACTCCCAGCTGCCTGTCAATCGGGACGGGTGGTAATAAGAGCTATACGGGTGGGGCAATTGAGTGGACGGGTAATTGGCGATTGTAGTATATGCTAGGAATTGACGCTACAGGTAAAGTGGAAGCCTAATTTAGATTAGGTGAAAAATACAAGGAAGGTATGGAAATGAGCGAGGAGACTTTGAACGGTGTGCGGAATAAATGCATCCTAGCCTCAGATTGGAAAGAAAAGCAAGTGAAGGCGAACAACCAGTGGGAAGAAGGCAACTGGTCCGAAGGTCATTCCGCAGTGTGTGCGATAGAACTCCATCCAACATAGTGGACAGAAGAACACGAGAGTCAAGCAGCGGCACGCGGGACGCCACAACGCAAGCCGGGTAAGACTTTTATGCGAAAAATTGGTTTTGGCGGAAGAGAAAATCCGCAAATAATGAGGCAGTCGAAAGCTACCTCTGCTAATGAAAGTTGATAAAGGGTAAGCCTCATTGTCATCGTTACCGGTGCCAATCCGCCCAAGATGGTACCTCTACAATGAATGAGGCAGACAAAAGCTGCCTCTTCTTTTGAAAGTTGACGTAGGGATAGCCTCATTCTCATCGTTGCCGTGCCGATCCGCCCAGGATAGTACCTCCACAATGAATCTGGTACAGGTAATACAGCGCGCGCGTAAATTTAGAAGCATAATGAGAACGTAATCATAGCTACTGAAATTAAGCCAGTAGGTACAATTGTGGATTCTGTGGGCACGCCTGCCAACTACCTCTTCTAATGAAAGTTGATATAGGGTAAGCCTCATTGTCATCGTTTCCGGTGCAAATCTGCCCAGGATAGCGTCTCTAAAATGAATCTGATACAGGTAATACAGCGCGCGCATGAATTTAGAAGCATACTGAGAACGCAATCGCAGTTACTGAAATCGAGCCAGTAGGTACCATTGTGGAGTCTGTGGGCACGGCTACCAACTATCATCTTACCGCTATAAGTTTTAATTTGCAGCCGGCGACATAGAGCATCGTGAAGCCAATCTTTGAGGCGTTCGTAAACAGACACTTTCCTCCCCCCGACGTTTTCTTGCCGTTTATGAACGTCGTATGAAACCCCAATAAATTGCGGATTTCCACGCCACGCTGACCCAATGAGGACATACGAAATTAGGTCTCAGAAAAAGGCGTGGTAAACCTGGTTAACTGACGTGGAAAGAGGATAAAAGCGCCAGTGTTCAGGTGGTCACTCGAGGGGAACATTTGTCACAGCAGGCTGTGAAAAGCAGAGGCGGAATCAAACTGCCTGTTTCCGCAATTCGTGTCAAACGCTCCACTCGCCGAGTTATCACTGCTACGTCTAACAGCCGCGCAGATTAGTCCGCATGATCAACTTCCTGGCTTGCAAGACGAGCCTGGAACGGCGTGGAACACGACACAAACTTCCTCACATATTCAGGGGCCTCCTATATTTGGAGAGTAACTACTATGTCTCTCACAAACACAGTTCCATCCGCAGCTTCCTGAATTCAGCCGAAACGCACTGCTCTGATGAAGAGAGTTAACGAGCAGAAATGAAACACTTGTTCCAACTATTTTCCCAAAATGGACACTCGCATGACTTTGTGCGTTAACGCATGAGACAGCGGCAACTCAACGAGAATGGTATTATCAGTGCTACCGTCGCCAGAAGACCATAAGCAATCATCAGGCGAACTCGCCCATACGTGAAGGATGTATCTGAGCTAGTTGAAAGGCAGTTAAAAAAAGCAGAAACGGGTGGTTGTTGCACAAGGGGCTGCGGTATTTATAGGATGTCGGAACCATGCTACTGCATACATATGAACATTCATGGCTCCCCCCTTCATCCGGGATCGTCGCACTTGGTGTGATCAGTGCTTGATGGCCGACATTCGAGTCGATAATTGCTGAAATTTCATCACGTGCGTTGGATGTTGGCGTGATGATTGCTCGACCGTCTGACGCACCGACCCCAGTGTTGGGAAAAGTGTTCACCTCTGCGCGCCCCGCATGGCTTTTTACTCCGCCTAAGCGAAGTTTCAGCACAGAGTATGGAAGGGGCAGCTCGTTGCACTTGTTGATGGACTGGGGGCAGTAAACCATGATTCCACTAGCTCCCGGCTCACGCGGTTGTCACCTCCAGCGAGAATTTCGGCCTCATCGAATTTTAATGTGTGGCCGGATCTCGTCGAATGAGCCGCAACTTGAGAGCTGGCGTCATTTCTGCGCACCGCTGCCGCGTGTTCGGCCATTCCCGTTCGGAGCTGTCTTCCGGTTTCTCCGAAATAGTTGCTTTGTCCGCAACTGCACCAGATCCGATAAACGACTCCAGACGTTTCTAGCCGTGGCAGTGGGTCCTTCGGTTTCATGACCAGACGCCTGATGATTGCCTCCGGTCTGTGTGCCACTCCAACCCCAAGTGGTGCGAGGAGGTGGCCGACAGCTTTCGAAACGTTCTTGACATACGGAAGTGCCCGCCAAGATTTGGTGTCCATGCGGTTAGGTCTTTCGTCCCTTTTGCGTATGTACCGGTCGACGAAGTTGCGCGGGTAGCCATTGGCTTTGAAGGCCCGTCGGAGCTATTGTAGTTAGGCAATTTCGTCTTCCAGCTCACTGCAGTGCGTTTCGACACGCCGATAGAGCGTCCTTACACAACTGCGTTTGTGGCTGATTGGGTGGTTACTGTTGAAGTTCAGTACTTACATCGCATTTGTCGCTTTCCTGAACACTTTGGTCTTTAGTCCACCACAATCCTTGCGGCATACGAGGACATCCAGGAAGGCCAGCTGGTTGTTCTCTTCCTCCTCCATCGTAAATTGAATGTCCGGGAAGACGGCGTTGAGATGTTCTTGGAATGTCAACACCTGATTCCGTTCGATGATGACGAAGGTTTCATCCACATACCGGGCCCAGAATTTCGGTCTGTGCTGTTGGAAGACCAGCGACTCTAACCGTTGTAGGACCGCCTCGGCGATGAATCCCGAAATTGGCGAACCCATTGGTGTGCCCTTCACCTGTTCGTAGATTGTCCCGTCGAACGTGAAGTACGTCCTGTGACAGAACCTCAGGAGCTGAAGGACTTGGGCGTGTCCAAGACGGTTCTCCGTTTCATCGTATTTGCTTTATAGTAGCACTTCAATTGTCTCGATCGCCAGGTCCTGGGGAATAAAAGTAAAAAGGGATGTAACATCAAAAAATACCATGACCTCATTTGGATGGAGGCTTACCCCTTTGAGTTTTTCCAGGAATTGTGCTGAGGAAGAGACCGTGGTGTTTGACTCAGCGGTCAGGAACTTGAGACGCCGGAACATCCACTTAGCCAGTCCGTACCTTGGAGTACCTTTGAGCGACACGATGGGTCGGAGAGTAGCGCCGTCTTTGTGCACCTTAGGGAGGCCATAGAATCGGGCCAAAGCCGTATCTTGGGGTCTTGCCATGCGTCTGTCGGTCGGTGTTATTGCACCTGAGTTCTCCAAGGCCAACAACGTAGCATTAATTTCGCGTGTCAGCGCCTTTAAAGGGTTCGTTGCACATGGGACATAGAACTGTCGGTCCTCCAGTAAACCTTTGGATTTTTGAAGGTAGTCTGTCATGTGCGAGAATGAATTCTTCTCGTTGATTTTCGATGCCCTTAAAGATTCAATTACATCTCATGGGAAACATGTATAAAAATATTCATTATTTTGCTCATTCGGTAGAAAATTACATTTTCCTCCAATTTTATACTCAAAGTAAGGTTGTAGTTCGGTTTTAAAAAGTTTCTAATTGTGAGATTTTTTAATATCGTGAAATGGCCCTTCATAATGCGTCATGTCTCTGCATTCATCCATGCGGCTTGTAAAGTTCTGTGGATCAAATCTACTGTTAAATTTTATGAATCCCATATGATCCGCCTTTATTACCGTAGAGAAATGTGTGGTTTTCCGTACGCGGAAAATATACGGCTTGTAGAATGGAAACCCTGAATCCAGGTGAAACGGCAGGTCGAGTTCAAAATTATTCGGGAATTGCATATTTTATATTACCAAATCATATCTTTCCTTTGAGTAAAAATTGGAAGAAGACATAATCATCTACCGAACGAACACAAGAATGAGTATTTTTACGTATGTTTTCCAAGAGATATAATTGAATCTTTAAGGGCATCGAAAATCGATGAAAAATGCATGCTGCTTAAGTAATTATTTTTACGGAGTATGGTTATTGAATGCAGCCGGAAGGAAGTTCATTCGATAGCTGGCATTTTATGGAAGCTAAATTTTGATAGAATTATGCTGCAAGATGACTAGTTTTACAACCCTACTTAATTAATCTTTTCGAAACGACATCGCATTTCGGAATTTCGGTGGATTTCATGAGTTAGCCCACTTACTGTATATCCATGGCGTTTCCATAGAGGCCGAACAGAGTACTGATTAGAATGCTCTGTCACATCGAAACCTAAAAAATACGGTCGCCGGTGCGTGTTACAGTCTAGTGCGCGTAAAGTTGGAAACATGTCGCGTAGTCGGACTGTTTAACTTTATCAGAGACCGCGCCCACAACCAGGGCGAGTGTGAAAGAGAGAGAGGAGGAAGTGGGGAGGAAACGATGAATGTCCGCTTGACTGCAAATAAATTAACGCGCAGATCACCTGTACTCTGTGGGGCCTTCGACGGATGTCATCACTTGTGACTGTCAAAATGACCTGTGTGTGTGGACCCGCTGTGGCAGAAAAGAACTTTTTGCCTTTCGTAAAAAATGGAAGCAATTCAGATGGCCGTAAATCCCCGAAGCGGATCCGGAAGACCCAACCTAATGGCCGCATCTTCCACCCTGTAGGTTTATAATTTGTCCGCCGTCAGCGCTTGCTGACCCTGTGGAAAACCCCAGATGATAAGTTGACCCTAACCCTCCCCTTCTTAATTTATTTCATCCCTGTACTTTGGCCTTTTCCCAGCGCATCCTAATTTGGGAAGTCCCCGATTTGTGCAACGGTTAAAAAGTCCCCGTTGGCAGCTGCGAATAGTAGGGTTCCTGGGACTGCCCTGGCGTTGCAGGGGCTCCGTCTGATTTTTCTGTTTCGTCATTTATGAAGAGACAGGAAGCATAAGTTGGGGTGTCTGAGAGAATCACAGAGAGAGAGGACTGCAATTAGCGGAAGGTTCGGACAGATAGCAAGGGCGGCTAGGATTGGGCTGCCCTCGGACCAAACGAAAGCTGACAGACGCCTCTCTCTCTGACATCAACATTGAGAGGTCAAATAAGTCTCTATTGGTTTCCCTTCTCGGAAAACGGTTGATGTGTCTAGGGGTTGCAATTATCGCCTAGGTTCCAACTTCACACACCCGGGGAATTAACTGTCAGCTAGTCGGGATGACCGCCTTTTGGGTGGATATGCAACGCAGCTGTTGTAAAACACCGAAAGAGGCAGCATAACCTTTGCTTGGAAGACGCAGCCTTCGCCATCGCAGCGTGCATCCGGAGCGCGAGTGGAGTTGTTTGTGGAAGTCAAATAACTGTCTTTTAGGCATAGCGACTGCAAATTTAATGCACATTTGAGTTTTCCGATAGGCGTGGGAAATCATTAAGTCAAATGTCTCAAAGAGATTTTAATAGGGAAAAATATGGACTGACGAAAGCTCCTTACTGATAAATCCAAAGGCCATCATAGTCATCATGGCTCTGAGTCGATAGTTACACTAGCGACATAGCCACTTTTTCAAATAAAACTGATATGTTTAGTAGCCTATATTTGCTCAATGATTTTGTTTAATGCGCACTGTTTAAACTTCCATGAGGAATGTTGGATTGTAAACACGTTTTTTGCAGCCTTTTTTCAGCATTCATGTCTTAAAACTGCATTCAGTGAGTGACCGAGTTCATGAAATGTTGGCCAAAATCCTGAAATGCGGTTTCATTTAGGAAGAATTACTTAAGCGCGGTTGTAATACTGATGATCCTGCGGAAAAATCCTATAATATTTCGGAATTGGTAGAATGTAAGCTTTTGAATGCATTGCTTTTCAATCTCTTTTAAAAACCGTACTTGATAAAAAGTGACTACTTAAGTAGCATGCATGTTCAGCTTGATTTTCGAAGGTCTCGCAAAATTCAAATATATTTTATAGAATGCATGAACAAAAATGGGCTCTCTTTCAGTCGTTTGTTAGAGAATCACGTCCTCTTTACACTTTATACTCGAAGATGGCTTATTATTAAGTTTTAAAAGAAGTTTTCTAATTCCCGAATAAGTGGGAGCCTAATCAGCCGTTACATTAGCGCCTAGTGGTTTCATTCTGCAGGGCGCATGAGTTCCGCGTAAAGAAAATTACATTAATCTATGCCTTAAAAAGATACTATATGGAGTTCATAAAATTTCGCAATGGATGCGGACCATGTTGTACATTTCACGAGAAGCAATGGTAAACGGGGAGGTACAATACTGTATGAATGAACATTGCACGGTCCTACAAATCTCATAATTAGAAACTTTTTAAAACCTAATTATGCGCCCTTTTCGAAAACTAACTGTAAAGAGGACGTGATTATCTATCAAACGACTGAAGAAAGCCTATTTTCGTTCGTGCATTCTATAAAATATATTTGAAATTGCGAGGCCTTCGAAAATCAAACTGAAAATGCATGCTACTTAAGTAGTCACTTTTTATCAAGTACGGTTTTTAAAGGCATTGAAAAGCAGTGCATTCAAAAACTAACATCCTACCAATTCCGAAATATTATAGGATTGTGTCGCAAGATAATAATTATTACAACCGCGCTTAAGTAATTCTTCCTAATCGAAACCGCATTTCAGAATTTTGGCCAATATTTCATGAGATAGACCACACACTGTATCTAAAAGCCCGGAAAGCTCAAATTAAAGGCAGTCCTTAATTCGCACACCTGGCTTAACATGAAATTTGCACGCATATGATTAAAAAATACCGCAGCGCCCGGCAAACCCTCTATCAAGTGTCATTTTACTTCAATTGTGGCCATCAAACAGCAATATCAGGGAATTTTTTATAACAAAGTTTCGCAAAACACAGATTACCACCGACGAACCAAAACAAATCGATTATTCTTAAGAGAATTATAAAGTTTTTTGTCAAAGCATCTATGGGAAGTAAGGATTAGACTGCTTTTTGATGATTTTATGCAAAGAAAATTACCACAGACGATTGCAGATGCCCGGAGAGCAGAGTAAGGATTAAATGGCATGCTTATCAAAATGAAATTACGCTCTGTGTTTGCCAACAACGAACCTGCAAGTAGAAAATATTTTATTTGCGCGTGAATTTTTATTTTGATTTACGATATTTGTATTAGCTAGAGAGTGAAGCCCTGTTTTCGTGGAATAAGTTTGAACAAAAGCAAAGGCGACCAAACGCGCAGAATTTGATATCGTCATAAAATTTCGTGACCACTTATTCACCCGCGTAGTCACTGAGTATTAACAGGATAAGAAAAACTGTTCCATTAGAGAACGACCCAGAGGGACAAAACGTGATAGGTAAATAAAAAATGGACTGTTGGTCCGATATACGGGTGGGCATGCTACGAGACAGTGTGGTTCCATACTTATTTACTGAGACGAACACCGATTCCTTATATGGTATATTGTCCAATGGGTTTTCGTGGTTTCCTCAAAGGAAAAATTTTCTAATTTAAAAGCCACTGTCACCATTGTCCTTCTTAATTTTAGACGTGAAAATAAAATGTCGAGTTACAAAAAGCAAGCATTTTTTACGTCTGCTTATTGCTTGCCCATCGCGGCTCACCGAATCCTTTTCCTTTTTCCAATTGAACTAAAGGCACAATTTCGCATCTTCAGTGGCTATACGACGGCTAATTCCTTGTTCGGTTTCACGGGTGCGTTTTGCTGCCCAAATAAATAGGCAGAAACAGCAAGGCGTCGATGTTTGTTGTTTTCTGCCAAAACAAGCGGCACCCAAGTGATTGAGAATAACCCGATGGTTTCAGTAAATTTTCCGACAATTATTTGCAGACTTGTCAATCATTTTCATTCAGCAGTGCATTTCGACGATCCTAATCGGTGTTAGCCGGAATGGGGGAGCATGTTTGATTGTGAACGTGCCATTTTTGAATTTGCCAAACCAGTACTGAGTTGTCTTTTCTGGTCTAGCATAGTTCTTGGACCACAGCGCAAATGCCACGAGGAGTTTTGACGGTGCTGAAGCCTTGACTGGGCTCGAAAAGAAGCAGACGAGTAGCAAATGCTCGTTTTTCTCCAAATGACACTTCATTATGTAAGCCTTATAAATTAACATATTAAATACCGCAGGAAAGCGGTTACGAAGCACTTGTAGGGCAAAATACCTTCAAATATCTTGCAGCGCTTGCCATAAAAATTTGTGGGAACAATTGAATCTGAAAAAAACCATAAAACTTATTAGACAACATTATGAGTAAGGAGGGGAGTAGCACTTGGCAGTTGGTCGGTCGATATGGCACTTTAAAGCCTAAAAAACGAATTCCAAACGCGAATCTTTTGCATTAAAACAGCTACTTTCATAACCTAGAATTAAACTCCATTGAGATGTTCACGGACTTAGATAAATAAGCGGACTTTGAGAGCTAAAAAAGTCACGCATTGCCACGGTGTTGAATAAGGGCATAGGAAGACACTAGAAAAAGTAGGAAAGGCAATAGAAAAGGGGTGTCTACTTGAGAGGATTTAATTTAATCTCCGAACACTGGAATCTCGCTTACTGCATTTTCAGGGCATCCTATCAAATTAGCTGACGACGCCTAAGTTGCATTTCCTCTCAGACAGACTTTAAGACGTTCAATCAAAGGTGATACAATCAGACTGCCTCTCCGGGATTCGGGGCCAACTCGAAAAACAACACATCGTTTCGTCAGGGGGCGGGAGAATAAGTGCCAGGCGCACAACAACTGTTCCCGCCTAAAGGGAACATTGAAAGATTTCTTTATACTGTTGTTCTAAAATAGAAAAAAAATGTCGGCTTGAAAACCGAAAGGACGAGGTTTGGTCTGCCCACACAGTTGCTCGCTAACATTGCTGTATAAAAAAGAAAAGGCAGGTTTGTTTGGACTTTTTACAAAGTTCTGCGATTTGGGCAGTGAAGGACGGTCATCATTGGGTGAGGAAATAGAGCTAAGATGAATATGGGATAATAAATCGTGTTCTGACCAGTTGCTCTTTCCGAAACAATACCGCTAACATCAAGACCTTCGGCTCTCCCAAAACCGAGAATTTTGCGAGCGATCTGACCCAATTTGTTTGACAATAAACTTAGTTTCCGAATACAAAGATGCAGACACAATAGGACTATTTAAAGCAATGAGACTGTTTTAAGCAGTGAGAAGAGCGACCTAGCGCGATGACAGGCAGAGGGAATATCTTCTTTAACCTGCTTTTCTAGGGGCGTCAAAGGCGGGCCATGATACTAGTTCACTAAATCTGCCTCCGCCCAATGGCCAAATTAATTTCAGGAAAACGGTAAGTGTAAGTCAGTCGAACTGTCATTCGCCTTACACAGTCCGTAACATATCTCACGCAATGTTGACTGAAATTCTTAAGTGCATTTACGATTGAGTATTGAATGCCCTTATTTTCGGCTGTCTGCAAAAACCCAATGGGTAGGTACAACTACATAGGTTGCACGATCTTTTACATTCGCTTTCAAGGTACCTATAAATTTAAATATACATTAAAGAAAACATGGACAAAAGTATGATTTTCCGTGCTCGTTTGGTAGAAAAACATGCCTTTTTAAAATTTTTAATTCGAAGAAAGGTTCAAAATTACCGAATAATTTTGAATAGGACATACTGTTGTGCTTATATACCTCGCATTTAGGGTTTCCTAGCTACAGTCTACATACTTTTCGTGTAAGGGAAACCACATATTTCTCCATCCCGTTAGGACACTATCATATAAGGGGTATGAAATACTGCAATGAATATAAAATAAAATGCATAATTAGAAAGAAGCATTAATAAACCAACAGATAAGATGCTGTATAGATGGACCTTTCGCAGTCTTTAAAATCGGGTGATTACAAGCCTTTCAGAACCTAAATGTATTCTTTCTTGGAATACAAATTTTAGGAAGATGTGACTTTCTGAATATTTCTGAGTATGTTTTCTATTAAATATATTTAAGCTTCTAGGTCGTAGAACATCAGTGTTAAGAAAGCTTATTACCAAAAAGGCAATTTCTATAGATTGGTTTTTTGCAGACAATCGAAGAGGCGCATTAATACAGCGATGCACGATAATCCGTACTACAACCTCACTTCATTAATCCTTCCAAATCGTAGGCGTATTTCAGAAGTTCGGTCAACATTTCGCATGATTAGACACTGACTTTGTTTCACCAGTTCGTTTACTTAAGTACGCCTTCATGGTAACCCCTGCACAGCTGCTGGTTTTTTATTTTTGCCTGTGAAAAACCCGGCCGGACTACGAGGCCATACTAGGAGCCGGGATTTTTTTCACTTTTGGGCCAAGTTGCCTGCAACGTATGGGGTCCATCAAATCTGATACAGTCAGCTGACTGTCCAGGCAGGATTTCTTAAGTAATCAATCTAAAAGGCACCAGATGACTACCATGTACTTTCATATCAGCTAATAATTTCGTGGTAAATATTTTGCAGTTTCTCATTAAGAGCAACTCTCATTTGTGCTATAGAATGATTCTGCAAGCTCCATGAAAATTCATTGTATTTACTCTCCTCTCTCTAATATGGTTTCTTTGAAATCTTCATCTATTAAACTCCACTAATCCTTGGAGAATAAATGAATTAATTACTAAGCTGAATCATTTTGTGCTTAGGCATGGTGATGTGAACTCCACGTATTATAGGGGACTAGTGTTAGGGTTAGAAGGTTTAGGATCAGGGTGTTGGTTTGGGTTTTGAGGGTTAGTGTTAGGATTAGAGTTTGGGGGGTTAAGATGAGGATCAGGGTAAGTAGAAGGGTCAGCGTAAAAGCTTGGGCGCGGGCCAGGGACCCCAATTAGTTCCTCCAATTCAAGGCCTTACTCATTTGCTTGGACAAAGGAAACCCCCATTAACTATATCATGTTTTAAAACCGAAAGAGATTACAGATTGTGATTTTCTCTACGTCTCCCACCTAATGTCTGCTAGTGCCTATGTCTTCACGTGGATTTCACTGCTTAGCCAGCCTTTACAAAGGAGCCATCATTAACTTGTTCAAAGAATGGCAACCTGTGGGAGGGGACGATTAGGGTTTCTTTTCATCAAGAATGAGCAAGAAAGAGAGAGAGAGTGAGGAGGGAAATACCCTGCGATACGATTTCGACTAGCGGAGTGCATAAATGCGGACGCTGCGCGGCTAATTCGGTAGAGTCTGGTATTTTCGATTTGAAGCCTATTTTTAAAAAATCTTGACCTGATACGAGACCTCCGGCAACTTGGGGATACTTCCGGTATCTGACGACCTGCAGACTAACCTTCTCGTTGTTGTTAAAGTCACGTGCCGTTAGGGAGTAAATCGGAAAGGCATTACACAGGAGCAGTCACGCAGGGTACAAGACGGTAAACATAAATAATTATCATTTATGTTTTGCCTTATTTTAATCTTCCAGAAACTAACGAGGCTGGTGAATCATACCACAAATAACCGAAGTTCCTATTACCTCCGAAACCGCTCCAAGTGCAGTGCGTGACCGATCTCATAAAATGTTGGCCGCAATTCTGAAATGCGTTTTCGATGTGGAAGGATTACCAAGGTGGGATTGTAATATTGATTGACTTGCGGCCTAATCCTATAATATTTCGCACTCGCTCAGATGTCGTCTTTTGAATGTGCCTTCTTTCAACCTCCTGTAGAATCCTCACTCATTAAAAAGTAACTGTTTAATTGGCGTACATTTGTCACATTAATTTTTGTTGGTCTTATAAAGTCAAGTATAGTGTATAGTAAACATGCACAAAATATACTTTATTTTACTTGTTCAGTAAAGAATCACATTGTCCTCACATATTATGCACAAAGAAAGTGTATATTTAGGTTACGAAAAGGTACCCCAATTCGTGACTAATTTCGAGCTTAATCAGCCGTTGCATTTGCGTTTACAGATTTCAGTCTATAAGGTGTATGCTCTCAAGTTAAGGAAAGTAATATATTCATCTTGATCCTTAAGAATGATTTTGGGCATGTTCAGCCGTTGCGCTATCGTTTTGCGGCTTTGGTCTACAAAATGAATGCCTTCCGCGTAAGGAAAATCATATATTCATCGATGACTTTAAGAAGATGCCATATAGAGTTCATCAAATTCTGCAATGGATGCGGTGTTTGTTGTACATTTCAGGAGGAACATTGGAAAACGGACATTTGCGATGCCGTATGTATGGACATCGCACGGCCTCAAAAATTTCATAGTTAGGAACTTTTTCAAAACCGAATGATTATCCTTCTTAGGGCGTAAAATGTGAAGACAATGTGATTTTCTACCGAACAGGTAAAAGAACGTATGTTTTGGGCATGTTTTTATAAAATATATAAGATCATCGAAAATCAATGCGAAAACTGCACTCTAATTAAGTACACTGTTACAGAGTGCGGTGTCTACGGGAGGTCAAAATGTACATTCAAAAGCTCCCATGACAGTTCGACCATCGAGTTCGATGATGTCCACCGTGTGCCCCACAGCTGCAGCAGCGGTGGGAGCAGGGACGATGACTTGCGCAGGGGTTTATAGTGCCGGTAGACTTGCGCTGCATCTACCTACACTCTCTCCTCCTCCCTCGCCTGAGCCCGGTGTCAAGACAGAGTGAAGAAGACCGGAGACGAGGGAGGCCGCAGGTGGATGGCTCGGACGGATTCTCACCTTGGCGTTCCACCACACCCCCTAGTCCACACAACAAATAACCAGGATTTCAACCAAAAAAACCGAGATTGGAGGCTGGCACGGCCGAAGCCGCACCTAGGCGTGCCGCCGACGCCTGGCTCGGATCCTACACTGTGGTGAGAGTGCCATAAAGGTCATATTAATAAGGAGCCATTGCGGCCTGACTCTCAGACCCCCACCAGTGGAGGAGAAGGTCCAAGTTATCCCGTCAGATGGCAACCTTCCAAGCCACGGCTTTTAGCGCACCGTGATAGCTTCAAGCGCGTCAGATTGTTTATAGTGAGAAGAAAGTGCGCTGAGTTGTCGACCCCACTCTCCCTTCCCATTCCCACACCGCAGCCTCTGTCCGAGTCGGTCAGCAGACTGGAGTGGGAAGTGGGCGCGGTGGCTGGCATGATCGACTGACCATGACTGCGCGCGCCACGTGCACGACCTGACCCCCATACACACACACATACACCAAGATTTCGCACAACGGGGGTTGCACGGCGTGTCTCTCACTTGCGTGAGAGGGCCGTGGTAGGTGCTGTTTCAGCCCGTCCTAAGCCCACCAGTCCGCCACTTCACACAACACACACACACACAACGGGACGAACTGCGTGGACCGAGTGTGGGCGTCAATCAGCAACCTTCCTATCCACGACGCTTGACGTGCCTGGATAGTCTCAGACTCAAGTCACCCGCGCAGCCGAAGCCACATGGGGAGCGAGTCGAGGTGCCCACTTCCCACTTGCGTGGGAGATGGCAGTTGGGCGCTTGCGGTGTGTGAGTGCTGATGTGTGGTGGTGGTGGTGGAGGCAGGGAGGGGGGTGTTGTGGTGTGGTGTAGCCGGCGGTTGTCTACCGAAGGTCGTCGTGGATGCGCATGTGGCCGAGTAGGCCCATGCGATGCGTGAAATTGCGAGGGCAGTGTGAGCAGTGGAGGTGAGCTTGGTGGATATAGGTTGGTGCTCCAGGCACTGGTTTGCCAGTCTCCATGCGATGAATTCGCAAGTGACCGACCAGGCCGAGGCGAGAGGTGAATGCGCGTGGACAGTGTGGGCAGGCGAAGTCGGTGGTGTCGGTGTCAGTTGCGATGACGGTGATGGATGATGAAGTGATAATGGGTGATGAAGTGGGGATGGGGTTTGGCGCGGTGGGTGAGTCGGGAAAGCGGTCAATTCCGCTCTTGTGGATGCGCATGTGGCCGAATAGGCCCATGCGATGCGTGAAGGTGCGAGGGCAGTGTGGGCAGTGGAGGCGAGTGCGGTGGGTGTAGGTTGGTGCTCCTGGCACTGGTTCGCCAACCTCTGTGCGATGGATTCGCAAGTGACTGACCAGGCCGATATGTGAGGTGAAGGTGCAGTCCCGGTGAGGGCAGGTGTAATCCTAGTCCTCACCCCTGGAGTCGGAGGTTGGAGGGATGGTGTCTGTTATTGTGTCATGGATGTGTGTGATGCTGGTGTGAGTGACGGCCACCAGAGCGGCTGTGGTTGGTGCAGTGAGGCAGGAGGAGAAAGAGGCGGGGGAAAAGAAGGAGAGGGAGGAAGAGGAGGAGGAGGAGAAGGAGGAAGAGGGGGAGGACGGAAGTGGTGGTTCAGAAGAATTGTCAGAGTTAGTTGGCGGCGGAGAGGACGAGGAAGAGGCGGGCGGATGGACGGCGGTTGGTGCGGTATGGGAGGTGCAGTTGGTCCGAAGGTGTCCAATGAGTCCAATTCGTGCCCGGAATGTCCGTTGACACCGAGGACACGTTGGAAGCGGTTGTGCGTCGACGTTGCGGACGGGGCGTGGCTGTGATTTGCGTGCGTCGCGTTTCACTTTGGCAACGGCGATTCGGTTGGCCTCATAGATCGCAGCGCCTGTCCTCACTTTCCTCCTCCAGGTCGGTCGGTCGAGGGCGAGCTCTTCCCAGTTGGTCGGGTTGATTTGCGGTAGCTTCAGGGAGGACTTCAGAGTATCCTTGTATCGACGAATTTGGCCTCCTTGGCGGCGAGAGCCCGTGGCAACGTCTACGTAGAAGAGTCGTTTGGGTAGTCGCTCGTCGTCCATGCGCACCTGGTGGCCGTTCCAACGCAGCCGCATTTGTCTCAGCATGGTGTGGATGTTGAGGATTCCCGTCCGTTCCAGCACATCACTGTCGGGGATTCGATCCTGCCAGTTCAGCTTTAGGATGCGATGGAGACAGCTAAGGTGAAAGTGGTTCAGTCGACGTGCCTGCTTTGTGTATACTGTCCAAGTCTCCGCTCCCTACAGCAGCGTCGGCAGGATGACAGCCTTGTAGCTCTTCAGCTTCGTGCTCAGTTGGAGACCGTGACGATTCCAGACTGTGCTTTGGAGGCGGCCGAAGGCTTGACTGGCTTTCGAGATCCTACGAGCGACTTCGTCATCGATTTTGGCGTTAAGGGAGAGGGTGCTGCCCAGGTACGGGAAGTTCTCCACCACCTGCAGTTGGGTTCCGTTCACGCGGATTTGCGGCGCGTTGGGAGGAGTGGCTGTTTTGGGTGGCGGTTGATGTATGACCACCGTCTTCTGCGTGTTAATGACCAGACCGAAGTTCTCGCAGGCGGCAGAGAAGAGGTTCGTGCTCCGTTGCATCTCCTCCACCGAGGTGGTGTTCAGGGAGCAGTCGTCGTCAAAGAGGAGTTCGTGAACGGTGGTTGTGGATACGCGCGATTGGAAGTGCATCCGCCGTTGATTCAGAAGGTGACCGTCCGTCCTGTAGGCGATGCGGATCCCGGGGCGTTCACCACGGTAGGTGTCCATCAGCATGGCAGAAAACATAAGACTGAAGAGGGTATGCGTCAGCACGCATCCCTGCTTCACTCCGTTGGTCACTGCGAATGCCTCCGAAACCGCTCCTCTGTCCGTGACTCGCGCCATCATACCGTCGTGCAGCTGACGCACTATCTGAATGAATCGCTCCGGACAGTCGAATTTCTGCATGATTCGATTCACCGTGTCGAAGGCTTTCGTCAAGTCCGCGAAGGTAGAGTACAGGTGGGTCCGCATCTCCTGGCACTTCTCCTGAAGTTGACGAGCGGCGAAGATCATATCCGTGGCCCCGCGATGATGACGGAAGCCGCATTGGCTTTCCGGCAGAAGGCCCTGTTCCAGATGATTATTCAGACGATTGAGGAGGATGCGAGCGAAGATCTTCCCGGCGATGTTCAGCAAGAAGATGCCATGGTGATTGTCGCAGACTTGGCGGTCTACTTTTCGCTTGTAGAGATGCACGATGGTTGCGTCTTTGAAATCTTGTGGGACTTCACCTTGGCGCCACATCTCCTGGAAGAGCACAGTCAGGTGATCCATTAGTTGGGGATCTCCGTGCTTGTAGATCTCAGCAGGGATTGCGTCCGATCCGGGTGCTTTCCCGCTGGAGAGCTGCTGCACGGCCCTGATTGTTTCCTGGAGAGATGGCGGGAGGTCGAGGTCCACGTTGGTCTCCACTTGCGGCAAACGGGCGATGGCGACGTCGGAGATGGCGGAGGGGCGGCTGAGGACGCCTCGGAAATGCTCTGCCCATCGCTGTAGGATTTGTGTCTTCTCAGTCAGGAGAGTGCTACCGTCGGCGCTGAGAAGAGGAGCAATGCCCTTTGTCGGCGGACCGTAGACAGCTTTGATCGCGGAGAAGTTCTTCCACTCGTTGCGGTTCGCGTAGCCTTCGATCTCCTCAGCTTTGCAAGCAGTCCAGGCGTCCTGCATCTCGCGCAGTCGTTGCTGAAGGTGCCAGCGACTGCGGTAAAACGCAGCTCTGTTGTCGTCAGTGGGGTGGTCTACGTAGGCTTTGTGTAGGCGGTTCTTCTCGGCGAGCAGATTGCTGATGGCGGCGTCGTTGTCGTCGAACCAGTCCTGGTGTTCGCGGCGTGCGCGACCGAGGACGGCTAGCACCGTCGACTGGACCGTGTCTCGCATTTGACACCAGCGGTTCTCCACGGAGGCGTTCTCGGCAGCGGCAGCATCGGCGGCGGCAGCGATAGGAAGGTTGTCTAGCCGTTGAGCTAGTTCATTGCTGAAATGGAGATGGTGAGCGGGCAAAGACGACAAGGCAATGTTCAGCTTACCTGGGGGTCGCTTACCTTGTGGTCTCCTGCGAGGCTGTAGGCGAATACGCATCTTCGAGATGACGAGGCGATGGTCGGTCCACCCGTCAGCACCCGCAATCGCCCTTGTCACCAGCACGTCCCGCTGATCTCGCCTCCGGACGAGGACATAGTCCAACAGGTGCCACTGACGCGACCGAGGATGCCTCCAGGTGGCCTTCTCTCGCTCCGGCAGACAGAAGAAGGTGTTCGTCAGGATGACGCGGTGTTCTGCGCAGGTGCGGAGGAACAGCAGGCCGTTGTCGTTTGAGCCGCGGAGAGCGTGGGGACCCAGCACTCCTCTCCAGGCAACATGGTCTGTGCCTACGCGGGCGTTGAAGTCACCAAGGACAATCAACTTGTCCGCCTTCGACACAGTCGCCAAGAGGGCGTGCAGGTCCTCGTAGAATTTGTCTCTTGCTGCGTCGGGGCTGCTCATCAGCGGAGCGTAGGCGCTGATGATGGTGACGAATTTGCCTCCCCAGAGAGGCAGGCGGAGGCTCATCAGGCGATCGTTGATGCCCTGCGGCAAACAGGGCAGTCGTCCCACGATGTCGTTCCGAATGGTGAAGGCGACACCCGCGTCTCGTCGCGTTGCACTTAGCCGCCCATTCCAGAAGAAGGTGTAGCCGGCACCCACCTCCTCCAGTTGGCCTTGTTCGGAGAATCGAGTCTCTCTGAGTGCGGCGATGTCCACCTTGTAGCGCGCCAGTTCTCGTGCCACTAGCGCCGTCCTCCGTTCCGGTCGGTTGCTCCTAGGATTTTCTAAAAGGGAACGAACATTTCAGGCTGCCAGAGTGAGCGGACTCACCATGCCAGTTTGGTGACAACGAGTGGGCCGAAGGGAAGGAGGTGGAGAAGAAGGCGGAGAAGGAGAAGAATAGGCAGAAGCATAGGCAGAGGAAGAGTAAGAAGAGGTAGGATGAGGAGAGCGAGTATGGTTGTTGTTGTTGTTGTTTCGATTTTGATTGTTTTGACCGTGAGTTTTGCGTCTGCGACCACGGTGCGCCTGCAGACGACGTGGTTCCCCAGCAATTTTGAGGCCAGTTTTTCCAGGCCCCCTCCGAAGAGAAGCAGTGCCCGGTCCCTGAATAGGGCTGCTTGATGTGCCGGCGCGGCCGAACTCTACTGTGGGCCACGAGTTTGTTTGGCAGTGGAAGAAGGACTCGAATTTGCCAATGGCTTACGGCATTGCCGTAAGCCTGCGGTCTCCTTCGGTGCACCAGATGGGCGCAAGTCCGCGATGTTGACTGTTGTAAACCGAAAGCTTCAATGACATGCGAGTGGTGTACATCGAATCCATCAGTGAGTAGGCCCCAATACATTTTTCTGTCAACTGTGTTTAAGGATTGTATTTTGCAGGCTACTTCCTATGTCCCTCAACTACATTCAAGACAAGTTCAGGAGGAAAAATGACCAAATTTTCCAATCTAACGTTTGCTCTTCTTGTTCAACAAACGGAAGCACTTGTTGCGAGTTTATTTAACTATCATCTTTCATGTTCGCTTAATTGCAGGCCCTAGGCTATCGTTAGCAATGCGCTAGCTAGTGGTCCTATAGCAAGCTGGGTGTGATCAGGGTGTCTTCGCTGGTACTGAGGGAGGGCATAAAAAGCAAATAACTATTCAAGATTTTGTTTATTGCTGCGGTTTGAACTATTTGTAGTCCATGAATTACGCGCTCATCTGACGAAGTGCACGCAAACTACACAGAAGCAACCGGCGCGGGGCAGCAAGCTGGTGCCAAACACAGAGTGCCAGATCATGGGACAAAAGACCTGCTGACATGGCAGGACCCGTTCGGAGTCGCCTACAGGATCTGGTACAATTGTGGACAAGATAAACCTGCTGGAGAAGCCGA